TAACATTGTGGAAACAACAAAGAACAACCACTAAAAAAATCTCCTTTTCATGGCATAAAAAGGCCTCATAAACAGTTAAAAATGTGTTTGAATATTCTGCACAGGATGCAGGCTATCCCCGCACGAGTTTGACTACTGCAGGATACAAATTAATCATACATGCTGAGGGACAGAATAAGATGTCCCAGTTTTGGTGGCATCGCCTTCACTGCTATTCTCTCAGCACCATCTAGTGTTCATGCAGATGGAAAATTCATGAATGCAGAAAAACTGCCTGACAGCACAAATCCACATTTACATCTAATTATTAATAAATAACAAGTTATTAACATTAACCATTCAGACACAGGAACACATTTTTAATGTCTGAATTGATTTTATAACCTTATTGTTATGTATATTGTAACTTCTTATTGTTTTAATTGTACTGTGTTCCCTTATTTTAATTCATTTTTTAACAAAAACAAGTAATTAAAGCTTAAGATGGGGCTATCTCTCTTTTTTATTCCCAGATTTTTAGATTTTTAGATTTGCAAACAGATGCTTTACTGTTACATGACTGTCTCAATCTCCAAATTCCTATAATTTCTCATGCTTTGCCACCAATTTTCTAAGAATTCAACCCAGAGCAGATCAGCTTTATGTGACCTACAGTGCTTAAAATATAATGATTAAAGACCTTAGAATACACTGGGTTAATTACAGTGTTCTGCAGTATGTTTTTCGTCCACAGAGAGACGCTCAAACACAACCAGACAGCAGCCACGAGTGAAAGCTCTCACAAGGGGGGAAGCGGATATGATCACACCGAGCTCTGCTTATAAAAAATTATCCTTAAAATATCAATTCATCTACGCCCCAGATTTCATCCACAAAAGCAGAATGTAGAAATGCTGAGTCGGTGAAACACGAATGAAACCTTCCCCTGCTCTTCATCACAAGTAGACATCTTCATCAGGATCTAAGTAGCTGCTGTCTGAGGGCCGACCACCGGTGTGATTAAATGTCACTTTTATTTGCATGAACTACTTAAAGTCATTGTGTCGGCAATCCAGCCATGTCTGAAGGAATTAAACTGAGTAAAGCAATCGCTGGAGCTTCAGTATCTCGCGGCTATTAAATCTGTTCAAGCGTGGGACACCACTCAGCGGGCCGAGCTGCTTGCTGTGTACTCAGGACTTTACAGGTTTGATTCTGGCCCACCTTCCCGTCACGTGTCGTAACTTTACGCAACTGTCAATCACGTCGCTCCTCGCTGTGTGTAATTTAATAAAAAATGAATGCGTTCAAAAAGAAATATCAAGAATTCATATATCGTGCAGACTGTACCCACCTCTGGCAATATAGTTCCTAATCAAATATAGAGTTCATGTTTAAAAGATAAGGAGTGAGGGTTAAATTTCAAAGGGGCAGCAGAATGAAGGCAGAAAAGATGATTTCCAAAGAGGGAGACATTACTGCAGCCACCTTTGGTATGCCTTTGACACTGATGGTGCATTGCTAATATACTGAATTTATTGTTTGTGTGTGTGTGCATGTGTGTCCACAGACGTTCAGTTTACAAGGACAATATGAAGTGCAGCCAGTGGAGATGCAATATGCCATGCTATGCAAAGGAATACTTCACTTTGGTTGCAGTATGAAGCAAAGAAGTCATTTTCTATGTGACAATCGCTGCCTTTGTTCAGGAGACACATGTTCACCTGAGACGTCCTTTCCTTTCTCTCGGGAAACCGTGTGGCCGCCGTGTTTCTCAGATAATATAACTGTTGTTGCTTATCAGTGTGCATTACAATGAGAGGAGCCGCTTTAAGTGGATGCAACGATGCAGACCGGACAAGACAGATGGGACATTTGAGTTTGTGTTGACAGTAGTGTGAATATTTCTGTGGTGTGGCAACAAAAAAAAAAACGTTTTTTACAAATGTGTTTAATTTTTTTGTCAGTAAACAGGTTCTATAAATGAATCAAAGGTGCTATCGTGACCCAAATTACTGCCTGTCATTTTATAGCTTTATTGGTATTGTTGTGAAGACCTTTGAATGCCTCTTTTAAAAATGATGAAGCATGCTTTCTGCAAAGTGAAATAAAGGAGCTGAAGAGGTTTCCAGGATTACAAATTCTAGTCTAGTCTAATTCTAGTCCAGTCTGTTTTTCTATTGCCTCAGACTTGTCTCGGACTCGTTGGTATTTGCACTCAGACTTGTCTTGGCCTTATACTCTACCAAGTCCAGCACGATATGTGTTTTTTTCTGAAGTAACGTCCACCATTGAGTGTGTTTGTTCAGAAAACAGGTATTGTGTTGAATTGAGAATCCATCTAGAACAGGCATTGACATTGACCAACTGGTAACCATGGTTACCAATATCATTTGCAATCCTGAACCCAAAGGGGGTCTTCACTACTGGTACCAAACAACAACAACGGCAACAATTATGGCCAAATCTGACGGGGAGAAAAAAACGAGTGGTCAGATGTTGTGACAGGTTGTAAACAAAGGACCTCAACTACTGTCTGGCTTTGCCATCTTTGGAGAAATATTAAAAAAACAACTATTTGCTATTAGAAGTTTGAAAAAAAAATGCTACAACAGAAGATTTAAAACATTCTCTATGTGCTTGTGCTTTTGAGTTTTATTCAGGAAGGTTAGGTTCAGTAAAATTCAATAATTGAATGATTGACCTTATTTTTTTCTTTTGTATAAAACTTGATTGTATGAGAAGCTGTATTCAATTTAACTTTATTTCAAATTCAGGTCCAGAGGTTGTTTGCCTATTTTTATTAGTGTTGCCAGGGAGCCACATACAAGCCCAGGGACAGGTTATTAGTAATATGATTTCAATAATAGAAATGATTGCCAAAACTACCCCAGAGTTGGCTCAGGCCAGTCACTTCATTAAAGCTAACTTCACTCAGGTGTGGAGAGGTGGTGGGTGGTGGTAGGGCGGGGGGTGGCTTCTGAGGCTCCAGTGTTTTCTGAAAAGCCCAGATTCTTGTAGGCTTTTAAAAAAGCAGGAGTATATCAAATGAAGTACTCTAAGATAATAATATATCCAAATGTTGTTTATCCTTCTGTTGGCTTAATATTCTAGTATTGAAGACCACATTTACATTGTGGGGGATCCTTAATTTACACATTATTATGGCTACAGTCACATGTAGCAGATTTTTCAGCTTAACATTAATTCTTTGAACTCCAGAATAGTAAAGGTTATAATAAAATATTATAACCTTGGATAATTTTTGCATATTTTTAGGTGGCAGGAGTGAAAATGACTCGACATTTGTTGTGTTGCGGTTTTAGAATGATGAAGATTCTCATTCTGTTGTCTCAAATTACTTAAGAAATAGTGCATATAGCTGCCTGGTTCCTCCCCTGGTTAAACTAAAGGAGACCAGAGTATCATGAAGAGTTCTACAATAATATAATGATAGTTATTGAGTCACATTATACAACATATCACTGTGAATACAGCTCAACCTTGTACTTTTACCGCTCCCATATGTAATGTCACACACACAAAAAGCATGAAACTTGGCAAACACAGGGTGGAATTACAGATGTAACCCTGCAGCGCTCTGATTCATATTTAATGAGAGAGCAGGACTTGAGGAGGACCTTTTATTTTCCATGGAGGAGGCTGTGAACTAATCAATAAGTAATATAAGGAAGATTTACAGGGATCCACTGAATGCCCCTGAGGACTGAGCTCTGAATGTTTCCCCCGTGTTGCTGTCTCATCTCAAGCGCCTTGTGTCCTCGCTGTAGCCTCGCGGTATTTAACGCCTAAAAATAGATTCTGTATCTTCACACTGGCTATACTTTACTTACTATTTCATTTCTATGGTTTTACTGATCAAATTTCACTTTTTTCCATCAAGATATATTTTGAACTTTTGTCTAGAAACTATGAACCAGATGGGAGTTTGAGGTCTTCAGGCAATATTGATTACAAATAAGAGCTGATTATTTTTAGTCTGGAATAAAAAGCTTGAAGGTCTCTGACTGACTAAATCTGTACCACATTTCTAATCTTAAATCTCACTTTTCTACAGATTTGCTTTAATGAAGTAAAGCTTTTACTGTATTGACCCCCTTTTATGACTCATGTCTTGCTTTTATCTGAACATTAGTTTTTATAAAATGATGATTGCATAGGCTTGAACAAAACATGCATGTAGGTGTCTTTACCGCTCACACACAAATATGCATTAAACTCACTAATGCACTTCACATTACAGCCTGCAAATTACAGTGTATTTATCAAGTATTACTGGGTACAAGTACTGGGACAAAAAGCACAAGGGAAGAAAGCTAAAGTATAAAAGTATAAAAGATACTGAAATTTGTATCTTTTATTTAAAAAATATTTTTTTTATATAACTTTACCCTGATGGTAACCACACTGAGCTTCACAACAGCTCTTCAGAAACCGGTGATGTCACAAAGACAATGTCCATTTTTATTTGTAGTCTATGGTTTTAACAGGGGCATTTCCTGCTCTATATTAGCTGCTTCTTCAATAAATCTCCACCAAAGTATGTTCTGCTTGCCGGCTGAAGGGCATGTCAACAAAGGACCAACCAGGGATCACTGACGACCATGTCATAAGCCTACACAAGGCCGCCACCCTGCAGATCTCTTACTAGCTTGGCACTCTTTGATATCACTATTTGTAAATGTTCAGTTTAATTGTCACATCACATAAATCAGCCAAAAGATTGGTATTAGTATGTTTTGAAAATTATGATAAAATGCTGCAGAACAGTGATTTTGGGATCCATCAAACAATCAAAACTGAGATAAAACTGTGAGATCATTACCAGCTGAGCTAATAAACTTTTAAGTGATCACCTGGACAAAGAATTGTCGCTCCCTCCTTTTACACAGTATATAGGTATAATGTAGTTTCCAGTTTGGTGCCTCTTATATACAAAATATTAACTCTGTAATTTGTGAGCTGTAATCAGAATAAAATACACATTTAACCAGCATTACCTAGTGATTGTCCGGCGATGACCCTGGTGTTCTCCCCGGCCACGGCCGCCCTGGCGTTCCTCTCGCTGGCGTACTGAACGAAGGCGTAGCCTTTGTGCACCGAGCAGCCCACAATCTTGCCGTATTTGGCAAAGATGGCCTCGATGTCGGCCTTGGTTACTACGGCCGTGTTGAGGTTGCCGATGAAGACGCGGGAGTTGAGGGAGCGTGGGTCATTCTTGTTGGTAACGTTGCTGGTCTGGGTCTTCCCAGTCATCCTAGTCCTGCAGCACTGCCTGCTGGGAGACACAGTTGCACACTGCTCAGAAAGCCGGGAAGGTTAGACTGTGGCGGTTACACACAGAAAGCCAAACAGTTGAGCACCAGTGAGATGTAAACACCGGTCAGAGCGGAAAGCATGCGTTGTAGATAACTGCAGGCTTTTATTTGGGATGAGAAAATTCCATCTTTTCCATAAATCCATTGTAAACATCATGAAAAAATCTTTTTTTATGCTCTAATAAGCATTTTGAAGATATGGTGCAAGATTTTTACCCAATGTGTTGGTCACAATTGTTTATAAGAGAGAACTTAAAACAAGAAAGATACAATTTCAGTGTTTCAGGCTGCAAAAATGTATGTAAAATGTTGATTTTTTTTGTACCATAGAAGAGAAGAAGTGTCACAATTCCCCAAGTCCAACCTGATGTCTTCACATAAGAGCTGTAACCAATTAAAATTATTTTCTTTATTGACTCATCGGTTGATTAATTTGTTGATTAATCACTCAATCTAGAAAACATTAGAAAATATTACATCCAGTTTGTCCCAAGGTGACGTCTTGTTTTCTCCAACAGTCCAAAACCCGAAGATTTTCAGGTAATATGATATAAAACAGGGAAAAAACAATCAATCAATTATCCAAATAGTGACCAGTAATTTCCTGTCGGTTGACCGATTTATTAACCAACTTTTTGTTGCAGCTTTAAATTGCTCATTTTGTCCAACCACCAACATAAAACCCAAAGAAATTTAATTTACAACCATTGAGGACTAAGAATCTAAGTAAGACTAAGAGAAATTTTCAAATTTTTGCTTACAAAATCACAACATTTTAGTTTGTTGATTATTAATTAAGTCTTTCTCAACTAATCAAGTCACCCACATGACATTTCAGTCTTGTCTGCACCTGTACTCTACTACTATTCTGAGCCCATATTCTGAGCCCATAATGAACACATAGACTCAGACAGATTGGTCTCTGCAGGAGGTGAGAGAACCCTGACATGTCAGCTGTGATTCAGATGTGTGAATATGACAAAACTCACTCTCTATGAGAACTCTGTTCCCATGTTTGAAAATAGCACATCACACTGAAGTCACAAGAATCTCTCACAGTTTGACCTTTTTTTTTTATGACGTCTCTCCAAGTGCAATGTCTTCAACCATCTTCCGGCTATTCAAAGTATAAACCTGACAGTTAAAAGCTGTTGATGTATCAATATTAACGATCGATTAATGTCATTTATAGTAGCAGACACAGGGTCACTTTTTATTTCTACCAGTGGGGTTTTGAATGCAGGAGTTTCACGCTGATTAACTGGTACATTTACTTAAATAAACACTCCCTCCAGGAAGTTGCGATGTTACAATAATTAATGCAAATTCCCCATGAGTTCTGTGCTGCCTTGCAGTTTTGTCCAATTGATGCAACTTTTCCAAAAATTTGTGGAAATTTAAAATCATTGTAGTTATCCGCGCCAAACGTTGAGCCAAATGTCACCAAATTTAGCTTCCTTATTTCTTGTTGTGAAGACATAGACCATGCAGACATGTGTGACACAAACAACTCACAACCTGAGCCTTTTTGGTAAGGTTACTTGAAACACTCCAAACAATGCAATTTTATTCTCACTAGGACAAACTGTCTTTGATTTTTAATGAATTATACAAAAATATATATATATATATTCGCAATTTTCACGTTCTCCTGCAATTTCTTAGCAAGAAAAGCCTAAAAACACCAATATATGCACATCTATACGCAATATGAATCAAAAAGCTGCGGTGAAATCAGGCATTTTGGCTGCAACAATCCCAAAAGAAAAGCCTGCGAAATCCTGGAGGGACTGAATAAAAAGGTCTGAATACATCTTTCACCACTGCTATTAACAACACAGGCTGTGCATGCACTTGTGAGGAAAGAGAGAAAGAAAAAGAAAAAAAGGATTTAGTTGGACACTTCAAATCAGTTACAACCCCTATGCAGCCTGCACTGTTTGCTCCCATAATGCTACAGTCCCCCGGGGGGATCAGGAAGTGTCACCATGGCAATACATCCCCTCATAAATGAAGGAAGTATCTCTCAGGTTGTTGCTTGTTTGAATTCCCTGTGTGTGTACCTTTTCAAAATGAGGCTTTTTAACCCAGATTCCATAAACTGTACACACATAATTTACCAGGAGAAGCTCTTATTAGTCTGCAAGAGCAGAAAACTGTCAAAATGTTAGACAGGAGTGAGTCTCTGTGGTTAGCACTGTCACCTCATAGAAATAAGATTGTGGTTTACTTAAGAGCTGGAACAATTTGTCAAATCATTATTAAAGCAAATATTGCAGGTTCCAGGTTCTCAGATATGAGCATTTGTTGCTTTTTTTTGTTCTGTCATTGTAAACTGTATATTTTGGTTTTTTTTGGACCATTAATCAGACAAAACAAGCAATTTATAAACATCACATCACCTTATTTTTTACATTTAATTTACATATTGTTGTTTTTCTACGTTTTCTCCTCAGATTTTCCTCAGGTATTTTAGATTAAGGTTGCAGTTAATGATTAGTTTCCTTATCAATTGACCTGCAGATTATTTTCTTGATTAATCAAGTAATTGTTCTGCTCATGAAATGTCAGAAAATAATGAAAAATGCTGGTTTTAATTTGCCCAAGGTAACATCTTATTCTCATATCGTCTTTCAGAGAATCCGGGTTACGCAAGTAACCTAAATTTTTGTCCGACCAATCATCCAATACCAAAAATATTGAGTATACAATCATTTAAAACAAGAAAGACTGAATGTTTGAAGTTGCTTGAAAAACGGACTTGAATTATAATTGATAATAGAAGTTTCCAATTGATTTTCTGTTTATTTGACAACTAATTTCAGGTCTGTTGTAGTTCGATGGTCCAAAGACATGCAGCTCTGGTGAACAGGAGACAACTTGTGAATGTATTTTAATCTATGAATGTTTTATGGCTGCAGCCCAAACCCGTCAGGGGCCTGACTAGCAACGAGTAATATAAATATAGGGAAAGGATGGAAAGATGTAATAATATATACAGGTATTTTCTAAAAATATGTCTCACACATTCTCACACATTCTCAAACACACAAATACACTAACACATACACTAGTACTCTCTGCAGTCGATCTCCTCCCGGGCACACTTCCCGTCACAATTTTCCCCTTCCTACCTGTTCTTCACTTTCATCCGTCGCCTCTACCCACACATAATCCACTCTAAATCTCCTCTGCTGCTCTTTAAAAATCTCCTTTTGCACCTCGCAGAATGGAAGATAATTTAACACTGCTGCGAGTCTCATAATGTGGCAATGCCGTCATTGAGTTTTCTAGAGTTGATTAACTTAATTATCAACAGAGCGGGGGACTAAAAAGCCCACCAGTCAATCCAATCCAATCAAATCCCATTCACTTCGTCTCTTTGAACAGCTTCACAGCTCCGGCACCTAACCCAACCAACTAAGTGACTGATGGATGTGAAGCACATTGAATGGCCTCTTTAAGGCAAATGCACAGAGGTGAGGCCATTAGACAGTTGATTAAGCAAGCAAGAGCACATTTTAAAGCAGATTTAATAGAAGAAAATGGGAGTTCCCATATTTAAACTCAAGCAGAGCTGGCATAAAGTGCCAAATGAAAGCACTGATTGGTCTTTGCTCCTGAAATGCTAGTTGAAATGATTAAGACTGCGGCAGCTAGTCGGGGAGAAGTGAACAAAAGAAAAAACTTGGGGGTTATTTTACATGTATAGTCATTCTTAGTGGCAAAGAGTTAAAAGCAGAGAAATGTATCCCACATGCACAGTAGAGTCACTGGTTTCTTTAACAGCTCATTGCATGTTACCAACCAGGAATTCAATCTTATATCCCCTGAAAATCTTCATTATTTCTCTCTAACATAAACACCAAATTAATCTTTACGTATTATTTGTTAAAGTGTTAGCGCTCAAAACCTCAGCTAATCTACTTCATCGGGCCCATGTGGCTGTCCAAATAACCAACCAACTCTCTTACAGTAGAAATTAAGCTACTGAAAACAGCTGGTTTGCTCATCTTATCTTAGCATAAAGACTGAAATAAACATAAAGACCTGGTGCATTTTGATAGAAACATAAAAAAAAGTGTAAAAACAATAAATTGTAGTGATACGGAGGATTATGTGCTAGATTATTTCTTTGGGTTTGAGCTTCAGAAAGAACCAGGCTAACAGTTTCCCCCTGTTTCCAGTCTTTGTGCTAAGCTAGGCTAACTGTTTCCTGGCTGCAATCTCATAAAAAAAGGTCCAGTGTGTAACATTTAGGAGGATCTATTGGAAATAATGGAATATGATATTCAAAGGTATGTTTTCATTAATGTATAATCATCTGAAAGTAAGAATATCTGTGTTTAGAGGTTGTCTTCCATGAAGGCCACCATGTTTCTACATTAGCCCGGAATGGACAAACCAAACACTGGCTCTAGATACGGCCATTCATGAGTTTCTGTGATAGTTTCTCCTACACATTTAGAACATTAGGGTGAGGCGAGGGTGTTGTAACCAGCAACTAAACCACTAATGCCACTAAATCGTACACAATGGTCC